CGTGAAAAAACATCATGTAGCAATGTGCATCCTGGGTAGTCAGGCTTCTCACCGGCTCACTGACTTCAATCTCAGAAGTAGCAATCCTATTTCATGCCTCAGTGGACTGGCAAATTACTACATGTCCTGGAGTTTCAGGACTGCTTGTGATATTTAAAACCTCTAATGCTAAATTGAGGGATGTTGGATCCACGCGGTAAGTACTATGTTTGGGGTAAAAGTAGGCTGCTCAGTGAATACAGAAAAAGGACCCTTGTGCTGTTAGTGTTGTAGCCCAAGGGTTGAGTGTTTTCCTAGCATCCCAAGGCCTACAGGGTTCTACAGGAGTGGGGGATAGCCTGGGGAAGTAGTAGGGAATAGGTGCTAGGAATCTTGAGGTAAGATCTGGAAGAGTTGGTTAAGGGTGGAGAAGATAATTAGTGCTGAACCTGGGATCCACTGTTTTAGAGAAGCCACAGATACTAAACTGCAGGTTGAGAAGAGATTTTTGAACCTACTCTGGCCCACTTGCTAAAGCCAATGAAGTCAACTTAGAATCATGTTTTTAAATGAAAAAAGTAGGGAGGAAGTTATTGCAGCAGTTATCAGAACACTTAAAACACAAGTGCCATGTTTTCTGCATACGTTTATTTACTCAGCAATAATAAGGTCTAGGAGTAGGTGTAATAACTACTGTGATTTCAGGGCTGGAGAGTTGGGTCAGTGGTTAAGAGCACTTTAGCTCTTGAAAAGGACCTGGGTTCAATTCCTAGTACCCACAAGGTGGCTTACAACTGTCTGCAACTCTAGTCCCTGGCCTCCATGGTCACCAGGCATGCATGTGGTACAAATATATACATGCAGATAAAATAGTAAAAAAAAAAAAAAAAACTAAACTAAAAAGTAACTACTATTATTTCATAATAGTAATAGAGATAGTGTTTTAAAAATATCTGTAATAACTGGAATACCATGAATATTTTGATTTCTGATGATTGTAAAGTCATATTGTTTATTTTATTTTTTTCAATTAGTCTGGCTATGTAGCACAGGTTGGCCTGGAATTCTGTACCCTTCTGTCTCTTGCTTCCTCAAGGGTTGAGATTATAGGAATGTGCCCCTATGCTGGAACTTTTATTTTATTTTATTCTATTTATTTATTTACTTTTTGTTTGTTTGTTTGTTTGTTTGCTTTTAGAGACAGGGTTTCTCTGTGGCTTTGGAGGCTGTCCTGGAACTTGCTCTGTAGACTAGGTTGGCCTCAAACTCACAGAGTGCTGGGATTAAAGACATGTGCCACCAATGCCCGGCTATTTTATTTTGTTTTTTTTTAAACATTTATTATTTTTATAGTGTTCTGTCTACATGTATGCCTGCACATCAGAAGAGGGCACCAGATCATGTTATAGATGGTTGTGAGCCACCATGTGGTTGCTGGGAATTGAACTCAGGACCTCTGGAAGAGCAGTCAGTGCTCTTAACCCCTGAGCCATCTCTCCAGGCCTATTTTGTTTTTTTGAGACAGTGTTTCTCTGCAGTTTTTGGAGGCTGTCCTGGAACTCGCTTGTAGTCCAGGCTGGCCTTGAACTCACAGAGATCCTCCTGCCTCTGCCTCCTGAGTGCTGGGATTAAAGGCGTGCGCCACCACCACCGGCTTTTATTCTATTTATGTTTTGCCATGAGATCTTTCCTTTTCTCCCCCTGCTTCCTTTTCCTCCTCCAACCACCCTTACGCATGCTAGGCAAGCAGTCTACCACTAAGGTTATACTCTGCTACAGGGGTTTGCAGTGGCAGTGTTAAGAAGCGCTTGAACTCTGGAGATATGTATTTTAAATATGGGTTTGAAGCCTAAAGTATGAAAGAAATGGAGAAGTAGAGGCTAATTTTAAAGTTTCAGGCTTAAGCAGCTGGAAGAATTCAGTTGCCATAACTGAGACGGGGAGGCCACATCCTGTTGTTAGTACGAACCTGTGGGTTTACAAAGGAGCTTTATGTTTCAATAACATCTCATTAGTTATCTAAGTACACTGGTTCCCTTGGTACCATGCCAGGTTTGCCCTGGGAGCCCCTGAGAACAGCAGGGATGCTCACATCCTTTATTTAAAATGGCATACTATTACACTGCCTGCATAATTCATTTAATGTCTAGATTACTTGTGCTAAATTGCTAGCACCTAGTGTAACATAAATGCTATACCACTAGTTGCATATTCAATACAGATACAACACTTTAAATGTTTTCTACTTGAGTTTGCTTGAACCTGGGGTGTGGACATTGAGGCAGGTCTATCGCTGAGCCCTGTACTTGCCAATGTAGTCTGGGTAGCAAGCAAACCGACGGGAATCTCCCTGCCTCCTCCTCACCAGTGCTGAAACTATAGGCACACACACTGCTGTACCAGGCTTTTCTTTTATGTAAGCGTTGGGAAAATGAACTCACATCCTCATGTTTGTACGGCACTAAGAAAGCTCTCTCTCCAGTCTTAGAAATGAATTAATTTTATAAAGTGAGTTTTGTTTGGTTTTTTAAAATTACAGAATTCTAGAATGCAAGATGACCCAATAGGTAAACACACTTACCGCTATGTTTCCCTGCCTGAGTTGTTTAGTATTATTATTTTATTTTAGATGTATGGCTGTTATGCCATATTTTTTTAATTTTCTTTTTTTTAAGATTTATTATTATGAAGCCAGGTGTTGGTGGTGCACGCCTTTAATCCCAGCACTCAGGAAGCAGGTGGATCTCTGTGAGTTCTAGGCCAGCCTGGTCTACAGAGCGAGTTCCAGGACAGCCTCCAAAACAAAACAGAGAAACCCTGTCTCAAGAAAAAAAAATTATTATTATGTATGTGTTCTTCCTGTATGTACACCTGCATTCCAGAAGAGGGCACCAGATCTCATTACAGATGATTGTGAGCCACCATGTGGTTGCTGGGAATTGAACTTTGAATCTCTGGGAGAATAGCCAGTGCTCTTAACCACTGAGCCATCTCTCCTGCCCCTTACCTATATTTTTATCTGTGTACTGTGTATGTGCCTAGTGCCCACAGAAATTAGAAGAGGACATTGGAACCCCTGGAGTTGGAGTTACAGATATTTGTGAGCTGCCATGTAGGTGCTAGGAATCAAATCCAGGTCCTCTATAAGAGCAGCCAATGTTCTTTAACCACTGAGTCATCTCTGCCGCCCCTGAGTCTGATCCTCAGGACCCACATGCTAAAAGTAGAGAACCAGTCCCCACAGATTGTCCTCTGACCTCCGCACTAATGCTTACACACATACATAAAGTGTAGTGTGTATATATATATATACACATATATAGAGACAGTAAGAAAGTGAAAGTCAATCTTTTAAATCAAAGAATTCTGTTTTTACTGCCATGATCTGTTTTACTTTTTTTTTTTTTAAATCATACTGTGAATGGAAACTAGGGGTAAACAGATGCTCTACCAGTGGGCTATATATATCCCCAACCCCACTTGCATTCTTTTTAATTTTAACAACAACATGAAATCATATGTTTAAGTTGATGGGATGCTTGGAAGTAGTACGATTCAATTTACTGCCTTAATTAGGTGAGTTACCCAGCTCATTTTCAAAACCTTTCCAGTATCAGAGACCTTATTTATACAACATGGCAATCTATTCACTTCACTTCTAAGGAAATCAAATTGCCAGGATGTTCTTTCTTTTTTTTCCCCCTTCCCCTCCCCCCTTTTTAAAATTTAAATTAGAAACAAGCCTCTTTAATGGGATGTTCTTTCTTACAGCTAAACTCGTCTCTTCTATGGATTCTGCCCACACATCCCTCGAGGTACAGAAAGCACAACTGCTTTAATCAAACACCCAGGGATATGTCCCCAAGAAGCCTCCACCTATCTATGTGACACTAAGTCAGGATCATAGCCATTCAGCCCACTTTTCTGTTCTGAAAAATGAAGGGGTTGGACCAGTTAGTATGCCTTCTAACTTTTGAATTATAGGTTTTTAATAGCTCTTCAGGGTAATGGGGGGGGCCACACAGTTGACAGAGTGCTTGACTACAGTCCTCCTTTTATTTTTGTTAGCTTGATCAAACGCCATTACAAATAACTACCTAGGGTCTTGCCACATCAATTAAGACAATCGAGACTATCCCTCAGAGCCATGGCAACAGGCCAGCCCACATGAGATAAGTCCTCACTGAGATTCTCTTCCTAGATGACTCTAGATTGCACTGAGTTCACAATTAAAACTAGTAGAGGGTGGGGAGATGGCTCAGTGGTTAGGAGCACTGGCTGCTCTTTCCAGGGATCTGGGGATCTGGGTTTGGTTTCTAGCACCCGCATGGCAGTGTAGAACTGTCTGTAGCCCCAGTTCAGGAAACCCAAGCCTTCTTCTGGCCTCCATGGGCACTGCATGCATATGCTGTGCAGTATGCTGCGCACACTGGTTTGATCACTAGCACCATATAAGCTTGGGATGGTAGGTTCATTTCTGTAATCTCAGCACCTAAGGTGGGGGCAGGACCATCAGGAGTTCACATTCTTGACTACATAGCAACTTTGAGGCTGGCCTGGAATACATGAGACTCTGATTAAATAATAATAAAATAATAACAACAACAATAATAACAAAATTGAAAGTAGTGTTACTGTTGATTTTTAAATCAACAATACAAAAATATTGTTAGAATTAAAATATCTTATTTCAGGTTTTTATTTATTTAATTTAGAATCAATCTTACTTTACATACCATTCCCAGTTCCCTCTCCCTCCCATCCTCCGATCTACCACCCCTGATCCACTCCCCAGGGAGGGTGGGGTCTTCCAGTTGAACTAGATAGAGATAGACAGAGAGACAGAGACAGCCCCAGGGCCTCATGCATGCTACACAAACAGTCAATCACTGGACTGTGCCAATCCTTACAGTCTGATTCTCTGAATTTCCAACTGTTTTCACTCTCTTCCTTGACCATCCAATCTAAACTAGTAAAGAATCTGTAACACAAATTAATAAAAACCCAGAGACTGCCTTTATAAAAAAATAGAATGCTTTTTGCTTTGCATGTCATTTTAGTGCAGGGATCATGCTAATCTTCTCTATATCATCCCAGTTTTAGTAAATGTGCTCTCCCTTTTTATGAACCACTCCATGCATCTAGGCAAGTACACTACCACTGAGCAACAACCCCAGGCCTAAAAGACCTCTTTCTCCTTCTAATGTGCCCATCCTTAGTGTTCAGTGAAGCTTGGAGACTTTTCCAGACCTTTTTCTACTTCTGTAATTCATCATCCATGAGATTCATATCTACACTTATGAAGGAACTGTGAAAAATTCATGAATGACAAATTTAGTAGGAACCCAAGGCTCCTGAAATCTCTCACTTTTTAATACTTTTGTGAGACAGACACTTAAACCTTCTGGATAGCAACTTCCACCTGGCTCCTTTTTCAGATCTGATGGTTTTGGAGCAAACTGAAAAGAGCAGATAAAGACATTTTTTTTGCATTCCACCCCCCAGCGAACAGCAGCAGATGAGCTGTGCCTTAATTGTACCCTTCACCTCAAGGATGCTAGAGCTGTCTAGAGGTAGTTATTATTTCCACGAAGAGAACAGTAAAGAAGCATGTAAGCATAAATCATGGTGAGATGTTTGAAAAAGTAGAATATGAGTTCAGATATGTTTTGCCATTGCTGAGAATTGTTATTTATGCTTTGTTTTATTTTTTTTAGTCAGGGTCTGTCTCAGTATATAGTGAAGGCCGGCTTGGCACGTTCAAGCCTTCTGCCTCGGTTACCCCTGTACTGGGATTACCGGTGTGAATGACCACACCCAGATATTGTTTTTTTTTTCTGTGCACTTCTGGATTCTGAAGATATTTCTAGAGCCAGTTTTGTTACTGTAATAGAATACAGTAGAAATATGATCATTGATATCTTGTTTTAATATTGACTTTATTTGTATGTGTGTGCTTCAGTATATGTGCACTATGTGTATACAGAAACCTCCAAAAGTCAGAAGAAGCCTCAGATTCCCTGGAACTGGAGTTACAGGTGGCTGTGATCCATCCAGTATAGGTGCTGGAAACCCAAGTTGTCTGCAAAAGCAACAAGTGTTCTTAGCCTCTGAGCAATCTTCCCAGACCCTGTAATTGATTTCTTAATTGAATTCTAATGATATACTATATAATTTGTCCTTATGATATACAATATACAGAATTGGGGATGTAGCTTATTGGTACAGTATTTGACTGACATATGAAAGACCATGGGTTCAGTCGCTAGAACTACAAAAGAAATTACAATGTTGACAATGCATTGGGCTTTAGTATATTCAGAAGTAACCATTCAGTCAGTTGTTCACATCACCATTATCTAGTTCCAGGACATTTTCTTTTTTTTTTTTTTTTTCTTTTTGGTTTTTTGAGACAGGGTTTCTCTGTATTGTTTTGGAGGCTGTCCTGGAACTCTCTCTGTAGACCAGACTGGCCTCAAACTCACAGAGATCTGCTTGCCTCTGCCTCCCGAGTGCTGGGATTGAAGGTGTGTGCCACCACCTCCTGGCTGTATTTAACTTTGTAGATCAGCCTTGAATTTCTTCCTTTCCGTATGTCTGTTTTTTCCCCTGCGACAAGGGCTCATGTATCCCAAGCTGACCTCAAACTTGTTATGTAGCCAAGAATGAATGACTTCCTGTCTCCACCACCCAAAGCTTTAGATGTGCACCATTATGTCCTGTCCCTCTGCCCATTATTTTAAAGGGTTATAGTAAATTATAGTATAACCATTTGACATATATTTGAGTGTAAATCAGCTACATATGGTTTATAAATTTTCTCTTCCAGTCTTCAGGTTGCCTTTTCACTTTTTTGGTATCCTTCAAAGCACAAAATATTTATTTGGGGAAGGGGTGTAAGTTTCTTATTCTCTTTCACAAAAAAAAAGATGTAAAAACTTTTAATAATAAACCAGTTTTTTAAAGGCCCTTGGGAATCTGGGCATGATGACTCATGCCTATAATCCCTGTATTCTAGAAGCTGAAGAGAAATATTGCCATGAATTTGAGACACCCAGAGCTACATAATAAGCTCTAGGGCATCCTCTAGGCTGCAGACTGAGACCCTGAGGACCGGACCTTGTTTCAGAACAAAATTATTAGTGACTGGAGAGATGGCTCAGTGGTTAAAAGCACTGGCTGCTCTTCTAGAGGACCTGGGTTGAATTCCCAGTATCCACACAGTGGTTCACACTTTGTAACCCCGGGTCTAGGGAATTAAGTGCCCTCTTTTGGCCTCTATAGGCACTGCATGCATGTGATACACAGACATTCAGGAAGGTAAAACACTTATGCACATAAAATAAAAAGTAAAGGAAGAAGCTGCGTAGTGGTGGCACACGCCTTTAATCCCAGCACTTGGGAGGCAGAGACAGGTGGATCTCTGTGAGTTCAAGGCCAGAAAAATAGATTAATTAAATAATTGAAAAAATTAAAATCTTTGGGGAGCTGAAAACAGGGTAATGTTTTCTAACTCACACTGAACAGTTTCATAGAATTCTATAGTAAATAGGAAAGTAATTCAGGAGTACATTCCAAGAAAAATAAGAAAAAATGACAAGTAATTAAAAGGCAAGGTACTTAATGGATAGAAAATTAAATTTCATATACTTGCTATGTAAGAGTAAAGAACCTGTAATATATTTTGACTTCTACTCATACCTGTAAGTACATATAAAGCAGATAGTTAGAAGCTATTACATGAAACACAGCTGAAGGAAAATCTGCCCCACTGAGCTGAGAGGGCCTGAAAGGAAACCAGGGCTGATTCCTTAGGCTAATGGGCTGGCATCCACAAATGACAAATGGCTACATTCAAGAAGTTATTAGCTTTATATGTTGAATGATTGCCAGTGATGCTTTAAAAAATAAGTGTGGCTCTTGAAATAAAGCTTTCTGATTAATTCCACATCCCTCTTTGAAATCTTTGGTAGTTAAAACCGACTTCAATATAACTCTGGAATGTTTAAAGACGTTTCATGAGAGTGCACAGAGTTAACAGTTTATAAATTTTCTTCATGTCACAGAGGAAAACAGGCACAGGAACTGGGTAACCCTTTGTGGTCATCCTGATGAAAATCTGCTGGGTTCTTTGGGCTATTCATTTCCTCCTTGTAAATACACCCTGCCACACTTATGGGAACTCGAAGATACTTAAGGAAGAAATGGTTCCTGGTGGGCAGGAAAGGCTGAAATTTGAGACCACCAGAAGGGAAGTTTGGGTCAGTAGGACAAACAAGAAGAAGAGAAATATGGGGTCAGAAATCTATTCAAGCAGTCTTCTTAAAAGAATTCAGAACTTGAGCAGAGCTTAAGCCTGAGGACCTCACACACGCTACACCAGCTCTGTCGATCAGCTACACCCTCTGCCCACCTGGGAGTTTTCATGTGCTTAAGGAAAGAATTACATTCTCAAACCTCGCCTGGGTCGGCAACGGAGGAAATGAAGAGTTGGCAACAAGAGTTTTTGACATAAACCAACCCTAACAAGATGCTGGGGGCTGGATACCTTGTAGAGTGCTTGTAAATTTGGGGCTATGTGTGTTCTTCAGAGAGTCCTCTAACTGTATTAGATGAGCTGAAGAAAACATTTTACCAGCATCTAGGAAAAACAGCGTGTTGGACACTTTCCATCTTTGTGACAGAATCCCTGAGCAAACAGTATAAGAGAAAGACATGTTTATGTTGGCTCACAGGCTCAGAGGTCTCACTCAGTCTGTGACCAGGTGCTTGTAAGCTTGTAGCAAGGCAAAGCGTCATGTTGGACAGTCATGTTGGGAGAAGAATGGTGGAGAGCTCATGATGAACAGGACATAAAACGCCCACCACCTGACTCTACTTCCACTAAATAGGTGCCACTTCCTAGCTTCCTACAACTCATTAGCTCCTTTATGATCTGCAACCTCTTGTCAGCACCACCAGCTGGGGACCAAGGCTTGAAGAGTCTTGGGTGAGGGACATTTCCGAGTCAAGCCATAGCAACTAGTTACCAAAGGCATTAGCATCAATGGATCAATGAGAGTACTTCAGATGTAAACACTTAATAAAACCCACTCCCACGAATCATATTCACACACTATAAGGACATTTGCTATGTTATAAGACGAGGGAGTTCAAGGCTAGGGCAGGGTTGACTGATGTCATTGACTGACAACTATACAAAAACTAAAGGACTCTTCTGTCCCTTCAGGTGTGTCACACCAGGTCACCTGCTGCCCTCAGACAGTGGGAAGTAACTGCAGCCATTCTTAACACACTAACCCAGCAGTGCTAACGACCAGAGAAAGAAGATCCATTTGCAGGAATGAGGAAGTCTTTTTTAAGAACCCCACAAAATTGGCCACATGCTTATTTGAGAACCAATTTCTGGTCCCAGGACGGAATGCCCTGGATTAATTGTGCTAGTCATATTGTTACAGTAAAGAATGGAATTTGCCTGTAGGTACAGACATGCCATTGTCTGCTTTCTTAAGAGGTAATCCAGTTGAGCAGGTCCTTGACCTGGTGAATGGATCACCCCTAGGATGCCAGGCTGACTGTAAGGTATATTAAAGCAGAAGGGAGTATAATTATTCTCTTAAAGGAACAGTGTACCTTTCCTTCCCAGAATTCCCTCCCACAGCACACTCTCTTACAGGGCCACAGACATACTTTTCCTTTTCTTCTCTCTGTCTCTGCTCTAAGTATGTTTTCCCTAAATCTCTGAATTTCCTTACTCAAACCCCTTCACTGCCTACTCCATGTAGCTGTTGTTCACGCTGGCTTATCTCAGTTAGAATGTTTCTCTCTCTCTCTCTCTCTCTCTCTCTCTCTCTCTCTCTCTCTCTCTCTCTCTCTCTCTCTCTCTCTCTCTCCCCCCCTCCCCCCACCTTTCTCTCTTCCCTCTGAACAGTTTGCCTGTCCAGGGAGTTTTCTTTTAAACTCAAACAAAATTGACCATAACCTTCTGTTTGAGTACATTCTTAAGTTATTTTATTAACTAGATTAAAATCCCCAAGAAGGGACCCTGATTACCTGCTATCATCTGCTGACCATATAGGGACACCACAAAACTTTATGTGTGAGATAAATAGTAAAGAATCAACCATATTTA